CAGTTGAATCCAAATCACAAGAATTAGATATGCCTAGACTTCTGCCTCGCGCCAACCTCACCCCATCTGAACACTGGGAGATAAATTCGTGCCACAGTGAAAGTGTCAACGCAAGAAGATACCTAGCAAGCTCTCGTGTAAAACCTACCGTTATATATCTCAACAGAAAGTCACAAGCAAACAGTAATCACAGCAAGAATGATTTCATTGTGTGGGATGAGGAGGAGAAGCAGGAGGAGGGCGATCGAGTTAGGGAACATTTCGAAAGAATTCGAGAGAAGAAAGAACAAGCGGATGGCAGTTACACGAAGCCTTACCCTCGAAAGGTGGTCCGACCCTATTCGCAGAGACTTTTTAAAAGATTTCTAGAACGCCAGCAGTCTTCGGCAGCCCCCTGCATCGTATGTGATAATTTTATTGTTTACAAACCAAGAATCGTTCTGTAAATATTAGTCTCTCACCTTATTTACACAAACTCCTTTACTGTGGATTCGGCAACGTTTTGTCAATATTGTCAATCTGGGCAAATATTACTTATGCCTAATCGAAATAATGGACCTTCAGTTTCTATATAATGGAACTGTTTCCTTTCTCATAATTGCGACGCTTTTTGGTATGTGAGCATGATTACTAGTAACATGTAGTACCCATCGGCCGACAACGTGTACCACCTTATACAAAAATGAGTACTAATGCAAAGGGGTCTAAAGGCCTTTCAGTAAACACATGGAAGGGATTGAAAAGCACCCAGGTGAGCAACTCTCGCAATGGGTAAACAATTTACAGGGATTGGTAAAGCGTTTCAAAAACAGGACAATGCTTCAAGTTATACTTCCGGAAATGATACAACATCCGACATAATAAGGATAGGAAACAAAGTCGTAAAGAAGCTGTCCCAGGATATATATTAGAATGAATTTAATTAAAAAAATCTTCTTTATATTACCACCTAACTGGTTGGATATGAAGTGACGTGGTAAATATTTTAGACTATCATACGACTCCTTAGGAAAGCTTATATAATTTTTACTTTCCACGTTCAAAAAATTATATTTTAGTAGTTGCAGAAGATGTGAAATTCTAATGGGATAGAGAGTTTGGCTTCTCTTAAACTGGTCGCTGGTTAGAATCTCGGGTGATGCTGTTGGCTGGTGACAGCTAATGACTCAGAAGTGGTCATTCTGGTCTCCCTAGGTTTTGTCCGTAAAGTTAATCTGTCTATAATATTTCCGCTCTGCAGCTCGAGAATGGACCCAAGGAAGAAGAGGACAAGTGAGTCCCGTAACTGATCGCTGGGCCTTCATCCATTAATGCTAAGATTCTCAATCGAAAACAGCGAGACAATATGCCAGTGGCTCAGTGAATTAGAACGTTGGATTTCTATCCACCAGGTCGCGGTATCGAGCCTCGGGTGGTGCACCAGCTGGGGTTGAGTATAGCTGGTTGCTGACGGCTAACGAGCCAGAAATGACTATCAAAGTCCCCCTTGTGTTTGGTAGCATTGTTGGTCTGCCTAAAATCCAAAAGAGTAGCTGTAAATTATAGGTCAAACTTGGTTAGTCCTATCAGCAGACCTATCTTACTAGTCTACTAACTATACGTGACTGCCAAACCTCTAAAGTAGCCTCCCTAGAAGTCTGAAATAAAGGTTGTCGACTAAGAGGAAAATGCAGAAGTCAGTGTTGGAGCATTAGACTTCAAAATGCTCAATAACCCCACAAAATTCCAAAACAGGCGATCCTGGGGTTGGGTGAGGCCAGTTTTTGAGGGCTACCAAGTAAACGTGATTTGTCCAGCCACCCTCGCCTTTATCGAGTCCTTACATTTCATATTAAGAGGCAAATGGGAATATGTAAGATTGGCGAAGTGACCATAAACAAATTCAAATGTTCTTTGGTTTTTACGTAGCTTTCTTCGCCCTGTGCACAGTCAAAGGCAAGGTAAATACTGCCGCATCTTAACCCTAAAACTAAGCGCAAACGAACTTTAACAGTAACCCTGATGTATATCCTAGTCCCACTCTTCACCCTAGCTCTCTAGGTAACTTTGAACCTAAACTAAACCTTATCCAAACCCTGACTCTAATATTGAACCTAATCCTATTTTCCTCGGAATTAGCTACAAAGACATCTGCATTTTGTTTTAGTCTTGTCAGCATCTCCTGTTAAGAGGGCCATATAATTCATTCTTACCAATTTAATTTTTAAACCTCTTATTTAGGCAATATTCCATCTTATCGGGCTTCGAGTGCATTCTACATAAGTCTGTTGTCTTACTGACTTCAATCCATTTTTTGCTTCAACATCCGAAAATATTAGCACCTAGAAGGGTACTTTTTTGCAAATACTCACATAAATCAGGACAGGATATGGCCAAAATGGAAATCTTCGCAGATAATCACATTCAACCTCTACCGATTTCAAAACTGAATCAGGAGAAAAGAATGCTTGCAATCTCTCAAGCAAGAAATTCGTTATAATTTGAAACCATTTGCCCCAAATTTTCATTAA